AGGCAAGGGCGAAATTAAAGTGTCCTGCAGAGCGTCCCATATTGTCATTTGAAATGGATACCCCAATTCAAAATTTCTGCATTCTCATCACTCCCTGGTTATAGGAACGGTGAGAATAAATGAATGAGCGAGGATAGTGTTCAGAAGGTGCTGGGTGATTCATAATCAGTTTATGAATAACGCAGCATAAGTTCGATTCACTTACTGCTCAGTCTGACAGGGAATGCAGATACAACATGCATCAGTTTTGTTTGATTTTTTTTCTCCAGTCCTCTGTTCTTGGACTCTGTATTAATGGACAAATTAAGTGTTTGTTTTAAGATAGTTTGAAAAATGTTCTCTGTCTATGAACATTTTAAAAAATCATCTTAATGTTAATATTAAATAGGTAAAGCATCATCATATAATAATGTTATCTCAGAGTTGAAGCTTAGTGGAAGAGGCTTTTTTTTCTTTTATTCTTTTTTAGTTTATCTGTGTCAGCAGAAAATCCAGGTCACCTATTGTCATCAATAAAAATCATATTTCAGCAAAGGAATTTAGTTTAAACTTTACACTCTCAGCATTCAAGCTGGAAAAAAATATTTCTAACACAATCATCTGAGCCTTTGGTATACAGGGCACAGCCACGGCTGTTACTCCCATAGGAAAAGTCTTTAATATTTGAATGGAGACCTTTAAAGCATCAAAAATAGACCTGAACTCTATAAAATGACATTATGGTGTGATTTGAGCTCACAGGCAAATTGACTATTTGGCTATTTCTGTGAATACGCACCTCAAATGCAGTGCACATGGAATGCACATGGAAGACTGAGAATTTTCATTTCCCTGAAAAGATGAAATCTCTGAGGGGATAGACATAATCAGGGGAAATCCCCATGCAGAAATAGTCTTTGGAGTTATTTATAAATTAATATAGCCACAAGACATTTAGCGTGTCTGTTATTTAATATATATTCATATGTTTATGACACAATCCCCTAGAGAAGTTAAGAAATGTATTTGCATGAAAGTGTTTTTAGATCATTATTGTGTGAACATCCAACTACCCATACTGCTTATCCAACATAGGGTTGCAGGGGAGACTGGATTCTATCCCAGGGAACTGGGGGAACAACGCAATGGGAAATGTTGGATGGGGAGCCAACCCATCGCAGGGCACAATCTCACACGACAGACAATTTGGGAATGCTAATCTGCCTACAGCACAAGTCTTTGGGCTGTGAGAGGAAACCGGAGTACCCAGAAGAAACCCTCGAAACATGGGAAGAACATGCAAACTCTGCACACACAGGGTGGAGGTGGGATTCAAACCCTCAACCCCTATTGGAGGTGCAAGGCAACAGTGCTTACCACTAAGCCACAATTTTTCACTCAGTTATCTAAAATTAATCTCAATTATAAATACAAATTGGATGCAACTACTAGGGTGCAATAATAAGAAAATTCTATTATTTCACTTTTTAAGTTTTTGAAAATTATAATAACCTTGTCTTGAGAGTGCATATAAATTATATTGCAGTGGCTTACATTCTTGCGGGCCACCTGCCGAAATGTGTAATAAGGTATTTTATGTGAGTAGTCAATGGTCTATTTCAGATTAGTCCGCACATTTAGCATGGTAATGACATCCATAAATGGAATTCCATACTTTTTATCAGTTAGCAAACCAGCCATGTTATAATAAATCACCCATTCAGCAGTTGGACTGCTTTAGTCTTCAGGTGAAATGGACTCAGGCTGGGTTGGTGAATATATGCTGAAAGTTGTTTAATGCTATCACCTTCTACGGACATAAAATCTTCATGTGCATGTCTTTGTTCTCAGGGGACACCACATAAGCTCTTTTCCTGCCCTATGTGTTCTGTGCCGTAGTGACCCCTGCTGGCTTACCGGCCAGACACTGATAGATCGTCTGCATAATAAATGAAGAAACTTAAACACAGTTTAGCTTTTGATTCTGTTGTGAAATGCTGATGTGTATAGAGAAGGGAGGAGTGTAAGAGAACGACTGTTTATTGCTATAACGTGAGTGATAACAAGAATTATTTGTCGTGCGTACAGTACATTTCATAACATTAACTGTAACTATGAATAGTTCTTTAATAACTAATAAAATAAATTAAAATAAATTAACTGCTCTGGTATAAGAGAAATAAGATACTTCATTGCATTCTTTTTTTTTGGAAAATAATAATGGCAGCAGGCCACCTCATACCACCTCAATCCCCAGGTGTGGTAGCTATCAATGAGGTTCCTGATCACCAGTGGATTTTGAGTGACAGCTCTGGGTGTAAAATGCAAGCTGAAGAATGAGCAATGTCTTTTCTTCAACACAGCTGACCATGATCTGATTGTTACTCTCAAAATAACTGCTTTCAGGCGGGTGACGAGCATTACCCAGTGCTAAGATGAAAGGGTCTAATTATGCTAGGCTTGAAGGATAAGCAGGAAGAATGGGATTCCTGCAGCCTCGTCACCCTGGCATCTTTCTGATAGCGCTCCTCCATTGTTTTGAAGCTGTACACTCTGGCTTGACTGCACTCCAACCTGCTACAACAAGGACGCCCCTGCATTTCTAATAAAAGGCTGAAACAATGCTGGCAGGAGCCCATTTATAACACAGCAAGTGATGCAAAAAGGAGAACACAAAGTGCAGCCTATTTGCATATCCCCTTATTTTTCACAAAGTAATGGGCCTTCACCCCATTTCTACCCCAATTGTGCTAATCCCTTGGCATGTTGAATCCACCCTGTTTCCAGCTCAGGCTCCTTTCTGTACGAAAAGAGCCTCTTTTCAGTGGATGAAGGAAAGTTATTTGGAACGATGTGACAGTTTAATAGAATGGTGTGAGGTGACATGCTGAAGGGACAGCAATTGTGAGCAGAGATGAGCAAAGCAAACCCTGGGGTATCACAGTAACTGCCTCCCTCCACCCTGTTACCAGTGTGATGAAGCTAGGCAGAGAGGACACACAGATCCTGACCATGCAAACAGCCGACATGGAAATTGAACCCAAACACGTCTCAGGGAACATGACATCTCATGTAATTTGTGAAGAAAAAAAATGTGCCAAAATGGCAACTCATATAGCATGCATTTATGAGTGTATTGCTAATTTATTTATTATATGAGTTATAATAACTTTGCTTTGGCACAAGACATATAGCACAAGACATATGCAAAAATAAAATATCTACTTAGCATATGATGGTATTTAGTGCCCTACTTAAAATAGACCATGGGCAGTGCCAAGAATAAAAATGGGTCTCCTTCCTATCATGCCAACGCTGGCACCAAAAAGTCTTGTCTTCTCTTCCTATAAGCTGTTTTTCATGGTTTCACTCAAGTGTATAAAGACATATTGACTAGCAAAGTGAAATTTAAATGCCCTCTATTGTACTAATGGAGCCAACAAATGTTTATCGACTTTTTAATCCTTTACAGTTTAAGCTTCTTATTCAGTTATACATCTGGATGCATATTTAGCAACATCTGTACAGTAGATCAGAAATTATGGTAAATATTAAAGCAAAAGGTATGAAGTAATGAAAATAAGAAATGTAAGTCTTGACCTGCCGATATGTCCAGGGACATTGAGGGGTTAACTATTAAAGACCTTATTGTATAAAAAGGTCCCTCCATGAAAACTGCAGTCATGTAAATCTATTAAAAAATTATTGACAATAAAGTTTAACATTGTAATGAATATTGTTACATATCATGATTAATGTAAGTTGGTATACTTTGAGATAAACATACGATCATTTCAATGTCATCCTGTTCTTATCCTAGCAAACTGCAGTAGGGCAGCAATGTTCTTTTTGGAGAGCAGTGGTTTTATCCTTGCAACACTGCCATTGCACACATTATTGTTCAGTGTTCCCCTGATGGTGGACTCATGAACATTAACATTAACCAATGTGAAATAGGTTACCCTGGGTTTCTTTGTGACCTTGAGGTCTATTACACATCTTGCTCTTGGAGTAATCTTTGTTGGTTGATCACTCCAGGGGAGAGTAACAATGGTCGTGAATTTCTTCCATTTGTAAACAGTCTGTCTGACTGTGGATGGGTGGAGTCCAAACTCCTTAGAGATGGTTTTGTAACCTTTTTGTAAAATCAACAACCCTTTTTCTGAGGTCCTCAGCCTTTGTTCATGCCATGATATACTTCCACAAACATGTGTTTTGAAGGGATAAAACAGGGTGCTCACTCACATCTGATTGTCTTCCCATTGATTGACAACACCTGAGTCTGAGTCTGAGTCTGAGCATGTAATATTGGATCATTTTCCTCAATAAACAAATGACCAAGTATAATATTTTTATCTCATTTGTTTAATTGGGTTCTCTTTATAATCTTTTAGAACATGTGTGAAAATCTGATGATGTTTTAGGTCATATTTATGCATATATATAGACAAATTTCTAAAGGGTTCACACATTATTGCACTGATTGGATACTGCATTGGATACTGGATTGTAATTTGGGAAAATTTCAAAAATCTGCTGTTATGATACATTGTGCAGGATATAGGAAGTCACTCAATTAATATATATTTCAACTACATTATAAAAACTAAAGTATGTGATATGATCTTATCTTAACTTATTAGTGATGCACTCTGTACCCAAGAAAATCTCAACTTCAGTTTTCTGAATCCCCTTTTTGTGGTTGCATAAAAAATAGACTATAGTGTTATCTTGAAATATTTAAGTTCACAGATCTTGAGATTGGTCCAAACTTACGTTATGTTAATGTTATTTATTGACTTGTGAAATGTTTTTTTTAATGACATTTTTATCGATAAATTCAATGTTATTTTTGTGTCCTTGTTACATGTGCAACACTGTAAATGTGATGCCTCATCTCATTTTTGAGCATACCATTGCATGTCAGGAAGTTGGGGTCAGAGCGCAGGGTCAGCCATGATACAGCGCCCATGGAGCAGAGAGGGTTAAGGGCCTTGCTCAGGGGCCCAACAGTGGCAGCTTGGCAGTGATGGGGCTTGAACTCCCGACCTTCCGTTCAGTAACCCAGAACCTTTAACCACTAAGACACCACTGCCCCAATGTCAGCTGTGTGTTCTTCCAAAATGAATTTTTCTGGAACTTTAACCTCATGTCACAGTTTGGGTGCAGTTTTCATGAGTGACTCATAAAGCATTTTATACCACAGTGCTGTTGAATTCCTTATCTACTGTCCTTTATAATGGCTGTTTGTTTGTTTGTTTTTTTGTTTTTTTGTTTTTTGTTAGTTTGTTTTTCAAACAAAGTTGTGGAATTTGTGGAATATGTGGAAAATATGTGGGAAATATTAAATTTTCATAGGGGTAAATTTGCTTCATTTGAGTCGAGTGAATCTCATTTGCACACATTAATGCAAAAATACAATAAATATTTTAATGATTATATTTTAAGTGCTGTTATAGAGGCCTGGAACAAGCAAGAATGCTGTTTTCTCAGCATTGTAAAAGTTTTGTCCATGTTTTAAGTTATTCATCTGAAGCATGCACATAGGTTGTTGTGAAGGACACATTACCAATGTTTAAAATGTCTTGTACCTTTATTATACATGTATATTTCTAAATGTGATTAACTGGACACCAATGGCACCCCAAGCCAGGAGCCTTGCAGTAAATACACATGAGTTATACATGTTGAATGTTTACAGCAGAATGGATGACGATGAACAGTGCATCAGGTTTCTGCCTCTGATCTGACAACAATAGGTGTTACTGAGTGCATATCAACACATTTGGTGTGATATGCAGAGGATGATAGATTCAACGTTACATGTTGATTCATCTCAGATGGTGGTAGGAGGCTCCCTCCAAATGCTGAATTGTAGCAATCAGCAGCTGTGAGATTACACTAGTCAGATAATATCCTGCCTCTTAAACACCCTGCTTCAAAAGAACATTAAGACAAAATCTGATTCTAACAGCAGCTTTGGCTTTTCTATTAGATAAATTATGCACCACCTTTAATAAATGTATTCCAATCACATCAGATCATTATTAGGTGCTTGCTCGTACCCACTGTTTTCTTCTTCTTTTTCCTGTGTGGATTACCTAATTTCTTTTTAAATCAAATTCATTTTTCACTCCTTTTCTCAATCCGTTAATGGCTCAGGGAGGTCGCTCGGCCATGTTCAGTCCTGTGGGCAGTGGCCTTACGTGAACTGTGGGTGTTAAATTGTGCTGTTGTGAAATCACAAACATTACACCCTTATGCTGAGGGGCAGGATGGGTGATTTGGAAGACTAATGCCGGTGTCAAAAGAGCTTTTGTTATTGCCACTGCTCAGCATTGATATTGATGTAGCTGGCGCAGCCTCCATTGGGTCTAGGAATAAGGCTGAGCAGAGCAGGGCTAATAGCTACTGCTCTGCACACACACTTATACAGAGATAGAGATATGTCTGATAGAAAAATGTGTGATTATAGGCACAGCATGGCATCAATCATCCCAGACACTACGGTTAGGAAAATCTCTCTGTGGAGGCATAGATGACCAGAAATCCCTCTGCTGTTTCTGTGTTTCTGCCTTCCAGCTTATATACTAGATATTTCAAATTAGTTATAGCAAATTAAAAGAATACCTACTGAGTGATTTCTTAATGGCTCATGTGTTATTCATGAGCAAACCTGTCTTTTTGTCATTCTTTTTTAATACCCTAATGTCTGTCCTCCTTGTATTTGTCTCTGACCTCCAAAAATTTCTGCACTTGTTGCCATAGAAACATAATTTTCATCTCGCTCGCGGGGCGTACAATGTAACTTCACTGAGAGAAAGCAAACACACTCTCGCGTGCTTGCAGGGGAAAAAAATGTATACATAAATTTATACAGCTTCAGGAGCAATGCTACACTCATAGCAATGGATATAAAAGGATTACAACTGTGATGTAAAACAGTGAAAGGATTTCTGGCTAATAGTCAAAGGATGAGAGAGGAATCAGAAGTAAGGGAGAGAGAGAGGGAGGGAGAGTGAGAGAGAGAGAGAGAGAGAGAGAGAGAGAAGAGAGATCAGATATGGGTGGAGTTTTTTCTGGAGAACAAGAGTGGAGTCGAGATGTTAGGGTAAAAGTAGATGGGTGGGTGGTTGAAGAGCTGGCATCTACTCGTGTGTGTGTGTGTGTGTGTGTGTGTGTGTGTCAGTGTGTGTGTGTGTGTGTCAGTGTGTGTGTGTCAGTGTGTGTGTGTGTGTGTGTGTGTGTGTGTGTGTGTGTGTGTGTGTGTGTGTGTGTAGTGTGTGTGTGTGTGTGCCAACATGATGGGTGTATGTGTGTGGGCCCAGCTTTTGGCGTGTTAACAAAACTAGAAAGCACTCGAGTCAGATCTGCAGTCATGGTTGTGAAGTGCTGTGATGGTTATAGGCTTCACACTGAGCGTTTCATCCAGATCAAGCGTGTTCTCAGGATTTTACAACTGACTCTTAATAGGATGAAAACATTTTAGCCTGAGATACATGCAGAAAAAGATTCAGCATGTTTGGGTTGTAATCTGACATGACACAAAGCTTGATTCATTGTCAGGGTGATAACAACATATTGCAGAATATCCATTTGGGGTCTATTATGCCAAGTCATTAATCTGTAGCAGGCCAGGGAATTTACAGTTTGCAAGGTACTGTAGCTAAAATAGAGCTGTAAAATTGTTATAGGGCATATCCTTGTCTCTGGTGAGGTTTCTGCCATTTTAAGATAAAACAAACACATATGTAAGAGATTCGGAGCATTTTTAATGACATACATTGAATGAATTAACATTATGGCATCCTTTTATATTCATCTGACCGCAAACATTAGTCAGGTACTTATTGTTTACTCCAAAATAGAAATGAATTAAAACGAGAACAAATGCAAGAGCTCAAGGATGAACAACACTAATGTTTTTCATTTCAGGAGTGGGCTTTTTCGGGCTTGGTAATGCTCCACAGCCTTAACACAATCGAATTCTGCACCAAATAGGCTTTAAATTAAAACACAAGTCGAATCAATACTGCAACAGGCAGATTTCTTCGAGCAAGCTACAGAATTTATAACTGCAAAGCGTGCACTGATAGCGATTGCATGAAACGAGCCCATCCTGTTTTCAAGCTGAAAGCAGCTCAGCATCAGCATCAATAAGCGCTGAAGACTCGCGCAGTCAGGCTTTCGGTAATTTGAGTCAGATGTGATTTTCACCTTAGGGGTGTGACTTTAAGTTGATAAACAGTGAATAGCAGGGCTGTCAGGATGCATGAGAGGGAGTGTGAAATAAATATTCAGTGAAGGCAAATCCTGATTTGGCATGAACACTCTTATGAAGTAAACTGAAATGATTGTGGAGATAGAGGCGTTTCAAGGAGTGATGATATATCCTAATTACATAACTAACACTGACAGTAATTTGGTATATAACGCTATGGGTAATGAGCTGATGCTTGCATAATGCCATTTTAAGCCTCCATGTCGATTTTTCCTGCTTTTTGACGGTTGAATTATCCTTCGTGCCTACAGACTTGTGACATCCATATTTTAATTTCTGCATATGTATATTCCATTCTCCAAGCAACAAACTATTTGCAACTACTACACATGTGAAGGCAAATGAAGTAATAATCTAGCAAATTTAGCAAATAATGATACTCACTACTCCTCATTTGCATAAATATGATAGAATGGTATTTTATAACATGAGGCCATTCATTACCGATTCATATTCTCTATAAAATAAGTGGGAGGTTTAGACTGTGAAAAGTTGGAGCGACAAAAAAAAAATAGCACCATTATCGCACAGTTCTGCTCGTGCATATCAAATAGCTGTCAGGATCCTTGTCAGAGTCAGTCATTTCTGCAGCAATATGATACCACTCAAACCTGTGGCCACTCCTGTCGACTTTAGTGCCCAAGGAGAAGCAGGGAGTTCGGGCCGTGATTAGTCATTTCCAGGCAACCTTGACAGGCCAAGTGATGTGGCCCATTTTCATGCATAGTAATGTTATTCAGCTTTGCATGCTCTCCCGCGTTCCTTATCTGCCACTCTAATTATCAGGGCCAGAGAAAGGTCATTTGGTCACTAAATTACCTGCTATGCATTTGATTATCTTGTCGTCTTAGCAGAAAAGGAGTCGGCCTAACACTTAATTTGAGGCGCAAGAGAGGCAAGATGGGCATGGTGGAATATCTGCTAATCCAGTTAAACCTTCTTTGAATAATGTTCTGTCCCATTTCTGCAGTGCCTTAAAAGTGATATTATGAAATTCAGCTAGCCTATAGCAAATAAAATGTCTTGATCAGAATCAGAGTAACATTGCTTCAGGTTTTATAAGAAGATTATCCCTGTTAAGTATAATTCTTTTTCGCAAAAGTGGTGAATAAGATAAGAGAAGTTAATCTTAATGGTTCACTTGTGTCTTCATAATTCATGTTTTACACTTTCTTCACTTCGAATCCCTTTTTGTGAAATATATCATTTATAGTGTGATAAGAAGAGATAAGCACTGTTGTAAAGATATGCTCACTTATGAGGTGGATTATGAGATACACCCTCTTCAGGGCTTAGCTATTAGCTAAAAGTGTTTGGCACCTGCTTTGCTAAATGAGATGACTATGAAAGAAATGCATGGACCGAATCCAGCAGACACAGAGGCACCTCAGGACAGAACACTTGAGCCATTGCTAAAGTTCTTTAAAACAGATGAGGGGCGGGGGACGGGGGACACAAACTCTGCCAAACGCATACCCTTTTACTGGAATATTATTAAATTCTGTACAAATGCAGCACTAAGTATTACATGTGTTTAGAGTTGCTGGATCTGCATGTTAGATAAGCTCTAGTCAAAGGTCATTGTAGCTCAATAGACATCTTTGGGAAACTGTTGACAAGGTGCATTAACATGCTGTGCATACACAAGTGAAATTACACGCTTTACAGTTTTATTATTATTATTATTATTATTATTATTATTATTATTATTATTATTATTATTATTATTATTATTATTATTATTATTATTATTATGCACAGGCATTCAATGAAGTGTTCAGCGTTTAAATGTCCAACATGTTCTCACATATCTAA